GCAGAAACACTACTGAGCATGAAAAAGGACTGTGAAAGAAAATTCCATATGTTGGACAATTCATTTGTTCCAGAAATGGAATTAGAAACAATTGTTTGTATCTGAAGTATTTAATTGTGTCTCAAGAATTTAATTAAAGCATGTATTCAAGTGAGTTCTCTTGAACTCACTTGAATATGTTTCCCTCAATATGTACTACCATGGAGCAACACCATTAGTATGCAAAATTCAATAATTACATTTTTCAGAGGCCTATATCTTGGTGGGCACTAATTTCATACAATTACTAGTAAAGAAATCTGTGTTGCTCCTTTCAAAGCATTCACAGTGCTTCAGAATAACTCAGGCCTTTTTTTTCCCAGATAGGCAGCCCATGGCTTGTTTGGTATCTAAGAGGTTTTTCTTTTTTCCTTTTGTACTCCCTCTCTGAGTGGAACCAAGTTGTCTCTCCAGCTTCTACTAAGATCTGTGTAATTATGCATCTTCTTTCCCACAAGATCCTGCCCTTGTTTGAGTGGTCCCAGCCTTGCACAAGATTCCTGGAATGGCTGTTTGCTTCTCTAACATGTCCATCCCACCATCATCCCTCTGCCTCTTCTCTGCTTCAGCATCTTTGCCATCTGCATCCTTAAGGAGCTACACAGTCAAGTCTTTGGGATTCTGCAGATCCTTCTTGTCAGATTCTTTTTATGGGTGTTGAGGAGTAGTTGCAACACACTCCTCTTTCTCAGTTGTTTCTGGGTTTTCTCCTGTGGTAAATGCCTTCAAAGAGGAAGGAAGGTTTTGCATTGTATTAAACAAAAAGGATAAATCAGACACAGTTCAAGCTTCAGCCTTAAAAAATTTGACCCTTTGTTTTAAGCCATTTGTTTTTAAATACTCAGCTGTATCTTAGCATTAATAATGGGCTTACCACTCTGCTTGTGATTTGAATGCCAAAGCAGGACACTAGCAGTAAAAGGGAAAACAGAGATAAAAAGCTGCACTGTTTCCAAGAGCAGAGACAGAGCTAATTACTAACTTGCCAAACTGATAAAGTGGCAATGAAGGCCAGAATGGCAGATCATAGTGTCAGTCTGCTAAAGTGTAACATGTCCAGATAAAAGTAAAATATTGTCAGAAAAGGTGTTTTAACTGATATCTGAGTAATGGCACGGAAGAGTTAATCCTGTTTTCCGAGAAGCAGTTTTGTGCAATTTCTGGCAGAGCAGTAAATGGAGTCAGTTCTTTGGGCTAAAATAGTAACTGTTTAATTCAGTATGATTGTTTAATTCAAAATCAGAAAGAGCCAAAGCTGATTGTTACCTTACATTTAATAATAATTAATTGTGGGATAGCAAATCCTTATTAAGCTCAATTGGGATTTCAGAGTTTCTCCCAACCCTGTCTCCTTGCTTTGTCCTTCTCACTCAATCCCCTGATTTTATAAAAAGCCTAACTGCATCCTAAATCCATGTTGCACTCTTGCCTTTATTGCCTTGGCAGTTTACAATATAGCTCTTTTGTTTACTTCGTCCTCTAAATTAAATTTCCTCTGGACCATATCCTCAGCCAGCCTAAGCTGCTGTAGCTCTATGAGCAACCATCACCCAGCTGATCCAGATGATGGAGCCCCATCCTATTAGTCCCTGGTGCTCTCCCCACCCCCAGGCAGATTGCTTGCACGGCGTTGGCAGCGTTCCTCCATCATCTGTTCACTCACTAATAACACGATTCAGCGTTTATTGAGCTGCTCTGGCTCCCTGCACATTCAGCAGCAAAGCTGCTATTGATTGCATGATGGGGAAGCAGAACCAACCCATATTCTGAGAGCTCTCTGCTCACCACAATGTAGTTAATTCACTAATGGTTCCTATTCACCTTGCTCGTGTCACAGCGGAGAGAAATCCTTTCAGCACGGCCAGGAGGGTGGGGAGGTGGTTCCCATGACCCCTGTTGGGAGGACCCAAGAGTCACGTCACAAAAAGCAAGTTGTGGGCTTTGCTCCAGCAAGGACACACCTTGGGAACTGCAGGGCTCATTGCCAAAGATTCCACTGTCTGTGCTGCCTGATTACATACATCAAATAAAAATACCAGATAAAAGCAGTATGAAAGATGTATTTTCAGCAGAAAGAGTGAATATGATCTCACACTATCTGCTTGCTTTCAAAGAAGAAAGCCACTCTAGATCCATTATATTTTTAATGAAATACTACTCTAAAAGGGTGACAAAGTTATTTTAAGCCCCATATATTCTTTAAAGAACTGAATTGAATGACAAATTTGGCTCTAAACCAATGCTAATACTTTCAATTTTGAGGATTATTACTGGGGACTATAATGCTTTCCAAAGTCTCTTCTAGTATTTTGTCAATGACAACAGGCATTAAAATAACAAAAAGTCACTATAAAACTTGACATTTTGCTGCCTATATTTTTTTTTAGGTTTCTAAATAGTGGTGCTTTCACCTAGCAAGGAAAATATATTCTTCACAGGATTTAAAACGTATTGTATATTAAAAAGTCTTAATTCAAATATTTTCATTATGCCACTTTTTGCAAATTTGGAAAGCTTCTGAAAAATATGCAAAATTCATTCATGCAATTTTAAGCAGTGTATTACCTTACATTAATTAATTATCTGTAGTTATTTTAAGGAGATGATTTTAAAAGTGTTTTAAAGAGTTTAGTCTTACAGCATTGCAGTTTAAAACATAAAATATAGCCTAGTGTAACAAAATGCATAATTACCAATGTAACTGACAGCACACAAAATACAGATACAAACACATATACCAATTTCATCATCACTGGTATGTAGATACCCACCATGGGTACACAACCTGAGCTTAATTTGCTAATACTCTCTAAAAATAGAAAAGCAATAAAAAATCAAGGAAGTGGTATGTGATGCTTAATTTTCTCCTCAGCTAAACTACTTCTCCCTACTACTACTTCTGAAATAAGCAAGATAAAAATGTTCATTTTCTTTAACTCACATTTTGGAGCATGGATTTGTTCTGTTTCCAGCTGTAAGAACAATTTTACCAGTTTAATATCCATACTCATTACATAGGCTCTTAATCCTGTCCAGATCCTGCCCCTGTGCAGGGCCAGCCTAATGCACACAGTAGCCCTGTTTACTTCAATACATGTCACTTGCCTGTGAAATAGCAATAACACACAGTCCTTATTTTCATGGTCATCGTTTTTGAGTAACCATAGATTTGAGAAATCAGTGTTTGGGCAAAACTAATTTTTTTTGCAGTTCCCTTAACACCATTTTTTTTATCCAAACCTATTTGAATACTTGATATGGCTTTTTAATACAAGTAAATCAAATTTAAATGCAAGACCAGCTATGAATTTTTTGGGAATTTCAGGCAAATGGACCAGGGACCATGACCTCCTCATTGGCTGGGGCTTTCTCCTGGGCAGTCCATCAAGATTCCCTTCAAAAGCACACTGTCATTCTCTTCTCCCCTCCAAACAAGATCTCTTTCAGGATCTCATCCTAAGGTGCAATGCTCCACACCATCCTGTCCCATTTCATTCTGTGCTTTGCCTTGCCTTGTGTTTCTCACTGTCCCCTCCTCTTGCCTGGCTGGAGCAGAAGAGCTGGGTGTGGAGTAGCACTGGGTGACTTGGCTTTTCACAAGGATCATGTGCTGCTTTGGATCTGACAGTGAGGCTGAAGGACTTGCACGTGCAGAGCACTTTGGGAGGGTGAGATGAAGCTGGGCAAGGAGAAAGCACTGCACAACAGAGGGACAGTTAATGAACCACATAGGAGAAGTATTTACAAGTCCCCCTAATCCCCTCAGTAAAGAAAAAAATGCCATACTCCTCCATGAGTAAATTTGAGCTCCAGACTTGTCCAAATATATGGTTATTTCTTACAGATATTCCACACAAAGCATCCATCAGCTCCCATGGCAGCTTCAGTAATTCAAACAGCTGCATCGTCAGGAGCCCAGAAGTATTGAATTCCTGTACTTCACACTGCTCCCAAGCATTTGTCAATTGAAAAGCATTTAGCTTAGTTTATTTCAGAGCAAATGTTTCCCTTTGCTCCCCAAACACATGCTACTCTTCAGATCTGAAGGGCCAGAAATACTGCAGAGCAGAAGGCTGTAATCACAGTAGCAGGAGGAGAGGAGCCAGGCTCTGGCATCTGTCTGAACCCAGCATCAGTGTGATATGCTTTCCACCTGCCACATGAAGCACTGGATTTCTTATAAAATCAGGAAGTAAACTTTGAAGGATGCAGATTTGATGCCCGGCTATGTCAAGGGACAGTATTTGCTAGAGAATGGGGAGTATAAGGTTCCTGGAATTGGTAAAGGAGCATGTCCGGCCCTAGCAAATAGAACTGCTGAGTAGCCTCTGGTTTTGCTGCATTTTTCTAAGATGCAGAATGGATAAAAAACCAAAAACTTTCCCTACCTAGACTTCTTTTACTAACCTATATACTAAAGGTTCTCCAAAAATAGAGAGGTGGCTAAATTGTAAGGGAATAAACTGCCTGTATTGATAACTGTGCATATAGTAAGTGACTTTGAATACAAACAAAAGCTGTGTTGTTAATCTGAGCCTTAAATGCTTCAAGACCTTATCAAATCACCTAGTGGGAACAACAGGGCTGCACTGTCTTACAGGAGCTAAACTCATTTCTTCAACTAAGAATCTATCCCACTGACTTTCAGCTCTTACCTCAAAAAAAATTTTGCATGCATTTTCTTCTCTGAAATATGAGTTGTATTTTCTTGAGTATTGAAAGCAACTGAGAAGCAGAGAGAATAGGGTCTTTAGAACACCTTTTTCACATGTTCACACACTGTCTGAATCACATTTACAGGAAGATGTCAGCCTTTTGGACACAGCTAGAAGGATGTCTGTGCTGCCATGAGAGCAGACCTCTGTATTGCCAAATGCTTCCTGACTGTCATAGACATCACAATACTTAACTGGGAAATTATTTTTATTATGGAAACTATTTTCTTTGGCTTTTCTGCTTAGGCTCTTCAGACATATCAGACTGATCCTGACATGAGAAAGATGCTAACTCAGCTGTATTTCTATATCATGCCTGTATTTAATGTGGATGGATATCATTTCAGCTGGACAAATGTAAGTGATGGCAGTAGTATTATTCGAAAAATTATTCAGACAAGAAAGATCAAATAGTTATTACATTATTCAAAGGTGACTCTGTATAAATCTGGTCCATCACTTTGTGCCTTGGAAATAAATTATTCCATTTAAAACAGAATACTGAATATGTTTACCAGGGTTAATTTGTTATGTGTACAAATAGATTTTTGCCAAAATAGAGTAATATTGCTATTTAAATATTTTGTAACTTATGCTAGGATCGATTTTGGAGAAAAACAAGATCAAAGAACATGAGGTTTCACTGCCATGGTGTTGATGCTAATCGCAACTGGAAAGTGAAATGGTGTGGTAAGTATGGAGATACTTTGGTCCCCCAGTCCAGATTACCCTGTATTTACTTATTCAGCAGAGGTAATTATCCAGGTAGGTTAGATCACATCTGTTGTGAAGTGTTCTCTTTTCCATAGTTGAAGTTTTTTTTCCCATAAAGCCATAAGCCAAGGCTCAAATCTTCCTACTAACTTCTAAAAAAAATAAAAGTTCTCAAATTTGGGAAAACAGACCTTATCATTAGTAAAAACTTGTCATGGAGAATGTGGCAAAATTTTTTAAATCACACATACAGCTATTCTGTATTTTGGCAATCATATAAATAATTTGAAGCATAACATTGAAAATGAACCATGACTTTTCAAGATTTACCTGTAAATCTTACCTTTTAACTGTAGCTTCAGGAAACACTTCAAGCTTCATTTTATTCAATTTGCCATTTCTCTGAAATTATTTAACTTTGGAAATGTCAGACTGACTTTGCTGGCCTCAGTGTCCTTAGGGCCATTATTATCAGTGAGTTAATAAAGAAAGAAGGTGCTTCTAAATGCATGGAGATACAATTTTAAACTCCCAGCAGTTCTGTAAGTACTTCATAAAAATTTTGCATAGAGAATGCAGTGGTGATGAAGTAACTACCAGAAGATTTGGAATGGATCCACCAAGAAAAAATGGTATTTTCTTAAATCTTACCTAAAGATTGTGCAATTCACACAGGGGTAAGCAGCCCCTACAGGTTCTAATGTAAGGAAGTAAGAACACTTAAATACAGCAATATAAACCTGCTGACCTGCTGTCCCATCTTAAGGCACTTCGTTTAGCTCTCTGTGCAACTGTTGCCACAGCCAGCATTAGCCCACCTTCCTTATTTATATTACAAGGTTGTAAAGACAAGAAATCGTGCTTGTGTAGTGCAAGGGCCCTGCCTTCAGCCCCTCCCTCTTCCTCAAGATGTTTCCACAATACTTGCAGTAGGGGTGAACACTATACACTCTGGCTTGAAACAGCTGGGTTCTTCAAGGAGGGCTTTGAAAATTGTAAAGATAAAAGTGAGTGTGGACAGATGCCTACATCCAATCCAGTATGGACCTGTGAAATTTGCTTCAAATTGTTTTCAACTCTACCTGCTCTAAGGAGAGGACTAAGATAGAAGCATTTACAGAAAGCCTGTGTTAGTTGAGAAACCCTCTTTACAGAAGACAGGCCCAGGGCTGCTATCACAATCTTTAGGGCAATTTTATGCTGCAAAAATAACGTTAAAATGAACTGTTGTGGTGTGATGTTATAGCCTGTCCATGCCAGTTCATTCCCCAGGTGTGCCAATAACCTCTCCCTTCCCCTCCCCTTGCCCCCTGCTGACTGCTGTCCGTCAGTCTTGGCATTCCAGCAAGGGTGTCATTGTGATTGGCGAAGTGCAAAAGATGCCTCTCAACCCTGGGGACACTGGGCCATCCAGGTGTCATTTGTCCCCTGAGACTTCCCCCCCTTACCTGGTTGGTGGCATACCTACCCCTTCCCTCTCCCTCTCCCTGGGGTTCAAAGACACAGCAACCACGCAGTTGTTGCTGCATTCAGAGGCCTGTGTGCCAGGAATAAAGCTCTGGATCTAAACCCTCCAGCAGAACCTGACTTCTTTTCCTTCACCTCGCCTAAAGCCTTTCTGCCAGAGGTAAACCTGAGCTCCTGCATGCCTGGACTTGTTCCAAGTGCCCAAATGCAGCATCCAGGTAGCCAAAGGTGTCTCTGAGGTGAAACCACCTCAGCTGCCGCCTCTGGTCAAGCAGCAAGGCCCAGACGAGCCCAGGCACATTCTATCCGGCAATATTGGTATTTCATTCCAATAATGAACGAGTCCTGCATCACTGGTACCATTGTTTACTTAAGTGCATAAGCCACAATTGCAGGTATTTTTTGGGGACACCCATTTACTGTTCAGAAAACAGCTACTGGTATAACTGGAATGATCAGTTCTCTTATAGTTGAGAGATGTTAGGTACCTATCAGTGCAAAATTAATACAGAGTGCATTTTCTTTCTAATTCCAATTAATTTTTCTTGAGTTCCTCCTCCCTCTTCCTGCTCCCTAGTCACTGTATCAAAACACATTTTTTATTCAGTCCTAAAAATATTTGCTTAGTTTTCATACAAAAAAGTTTTTTTTCTAGGCTTAGGGAAACTGTAACAATACTCACGTGTTGTGTGCTGTAATCCCCTACTTGTTGCATTTCTCCCCTGCACTGACATGAAAGACTGGTCCCCACCTCAAGTTTAAAAAATAAAAATTCTTTCAAGTCTGCTTCTCATCCCAAATAAGCACATGCTCAGCTTCCAGCTTTGGACCCCAAAGTCTGTCTAATTGTCTATTTTAATGGAGACTAAAAAGGTCTTTCATGAACTGAGCTGACTGGTACTCAGATGACCCTAACCAGTCACCTGGCATTCTCATTAATACCTGATATTAGATGAGTCAGAGCAGAATCTGGATCATATCACACTTTGAGGCTTGTGTAATCATGGTGTGTTTAACATTTAAAACTGCAGATGCTTGTAAAAACCTTTCCATTCAGTTCAGTTGCACTTAAGAGTTTTCAGACAGGCTTGAACTTCACAGTGGGGCTTCCAGGCAGGTGTGCAGTGGCAGACTCTGGCCTCAGCAAAGCCACCAAATGCTGTCAGCAGTGAGCTAGTCAGTGCTGATAACACAGCATCCCATCTGCTTTCCTCTTCCTTTCTAGTGTAGGACTTTGATGTAAGCTTTATGACTCTCTAGGGACCAAGCCAAGGGCCATATCACTGCTAGATTTCATGTTGCAGCAACCTGTGCTCAAAAGAGTGCACACAAATTGCACACAGACCCACATGAATACTGGCAGCACGAACTCTGGGTAGAAATGCTCTTCTTGCAATGCACGTATATGTGCAATAAGTAGTGGTTTAATGGTAACAAAATAGCAACTTTAAAGGAAATAATCAGTTACTTAAAATGAATTTAAGTCATCGGGCAAATTGAGTTAAAGTGGTTGCATCCAAATCTCCAAGAGAGCAATAGTAGGAGTTAAAATTTCCAGCACATCCCAATTTGCAGTGCACCCCACTGCTCGCTGAGGACAATATCCCATATTGGCAGAAGTGGCTGCAAGGAAGTTTGAAAACCATGCTCCAGCTCATTCATCCTCTCAGTCTTTCTTCTATACCAGAGCACTGGTTTTATCAGTCTTGGCACACATTTCCTCTGTTCATTGGGTCTCATTATGGATGTTAGAAGATCCTTGTCCTCCCCTGGTAAGCTATCAGGTACAAAAACAAGACAGCATGGTAACATTTTACACAATTTCATTTGTTTCTTATGACTGTAACTTAGAAATGTCCAACTCTGTTTTCATTCTTGAGTTACTTAAAGAACTTCCAGTATGAAAATTGAGCATACCCTTACATTATCCAAGGCCACCATGGAAACCTCCTCTTTTTATCACCAGCTAGGCTTCACTTAAGGTAAAGCATTAACTACCTCTGGGATGGTACATGGCTCACCATAGTAGGCTGAACAGTTTAGAGAGGTTTTTTTCCTTCCCTGGAAGTCTCTAAACTAAGCCATATTTTACCATTGGTCATTTTATCATTCGCTTGTAGGGATCCACTGTTTATTAACAGTGTTATCCATTGCCATGATTTACTATACAACACTGAAACAGGAGATGAAGTATCCATTAAAAAAAAAAAAAAAAAGAAGAAAAGGCAAAGGCTCTGGAGACTGTTCAATAGCTCTCCTGCAGCTATATTACCTGATAAGAAATTGAGGCAGAGTGCTCTTGGGATTTGGATGACTTGGTGGCCATCTGTTCTGCATGGAGAATACCATCTGCCCTCTCTATAACCCTTCCATATCCACTGCAATCCAAGCACTAATACCTTTGAAATCCCAACCTCTTGGCCATTGAATGGTAACCTCAATTTTCATCTTACAAATTAAACTGCAGCATGAAATTCTTCCATTTCTTTCTTTTTTCTTTTTTTTTTTTTGGCATTAGGTTGATTGCATAACCCTGTTTTAGTTGATAGCACTATGCCTTCTCACACACAGCTCTTTTCATATTAATTGGAGGTGGCAGTACTTACTATACAAAGGAAAGCTAATAAAACACTGTTGTTGTAAGTCCCTGATGGCTCTAGGGAAGTTTGCAAGCAAACTATTATTATTCTGCAGGTCAATGTAAAACGTGTGGTATTTTGAAATTGCAGCAGATAAAAGAGCAGAGTAGATTTGCATAAATATTGTTCCTTTAGGCCCAGGCCCTAAGCTGTAAATGAGACAATGGCTTAGATCCAGAATTGCTAAATTATAAAGGAGCCACCACCACATCTCCTTTCCTAAGTTTCATCTTTCAGTACCTCGTGGCATATTATATGCAGGCTACTCTTGTGCAGCTTGCTGCCACCTGAGCAGGTTGACACAAACATATCCTCAAAACTGAACTCCTGCCCCAAACTTGAAGCATAGTTAGGCCCTGTGCAAATTGAGGTGACTATTTTAGCTGACTGAGCAGTCATCCTATGTGGCTTTACTTTTTTTTTTTTTTCATGAGGTTTGCAGCGGTAAAAATAGGCAGTAGTCAGGAGCTATTATCATGTTTTTAAGATAATCCCTGTTGAAGTTACCTACCATTGTAACCACCACTGTCATAGGTAATACATTAAAAGCTGTAAAAGGCTAGATTTGTCCTGGGAGTGACTAATGAAAGAGGTACAGCTCTCTGATTTCAAATAGACCAACTGAGACCCATCAATAGTTTTAATACTGCAATGCTGATGCAAAAAGCCAGGAAGAAAATGCAGTGAAGTCAGGTTCTCCTTGTATCCTCTGGGGAGAATCACCAGTAGTGGGCCAATTAGGAGCTTGGTGTGCCTATGAGATGAACAAGCAGATTGCTGCACTGAGGTCCCCCAGGCTCATGCCCATCAGGCACAAGAAAGCAATTTAATTTGTTTATTGCTTTTCACACTTTTGCACATGGGCCAAAAGAGGCTGAGCAGCCAGAAGCTGACCCTTGGAATTTCTCTGTGATTGTTCACACCAACTTTCTCTTTCAACCTCTAGATGAAGGAGCTTCACTGCACCCATGTGATGACACTTACTGTGGTCCTTTCCCCGAGTCTGAGCCTGAAGTAAAGGCTGTTGCTCACTTTCTCCGCAAACACCGGAAACAAATAAAAGCCTATTTGTCCTTCCATGCCTATGCACAGATGCTGCTGTACCCTTACTCCTACAAATATGCAACCATTCCAAACTTCAACTGTGTGGTAAGTACATTAAAGCTTGGAGATTGGGCTCCTCTGTATATTTTTGGCACATTTTGTCTTAAGAGGAGACTTGATTCTTCAATACTTTGCACATATATAATATTGAGCAGTATTTATTCTGGATCCACTTGCAATCATATTTCTGGTTATATAACCTTCACTCACCATGACTCAGTGGTGATTTGATTAAAATGGTATCATGCCTTTCATCCATCAGTCCCTTTAAATTACTTTGTAGGTTAAATCCCTAATTTTAATTATAGTTATTATAATTTTATTTAATTAACTGTAATGGGAATTGCGTAGTTAGGTCCTTGGGCATCTAGCTGAAATTCTGTCTCTTCATGCTCAGAACTTAAAATCTAGGAGCACAAAGATCATCTTCAATGTTATGAACAAAATAAAATTGAAATTGTTTATGTTTATCAGTTCAAGGAGGAATCTCTTAGATTTCACCAAAATTAAAGCTTCAATTGCACTATGTATCATTCAGGTCAGACATAGTGTTTTTAACCCTTTCAGACAAGCAGGTAATTAAAACCAGGAGCTTCTCTATATTAGAAAAATAAATTAAAAATAGTATACTTTTTGATTGTAAGCCTATTGATTCACAGATGAGTACATTTCATGTATTGTATGCTCATCCAAATGCAGAGCTATTCCCTCTGCTTGCAGTCTGAGGTCTGTTTTAGCCAACCTCCTGTTCATCAAACCCCCCTTATGTCTTATTCTCTGAGGGACACATGGCTAAGCTTTGCTCTCTGTTTGCTCCTGCTCACAGACCCACATTGCACCAACCAGTTCCAAGCCTCTTTCTTTCACCCTCAGTCCTGAGTAAAATTACATATTCCATTTATCTCCCATTTTGACCTTGAAAGTTGCAATGACTTTTAACTTGCTGGTCTAAGCTAGTTTTCTCTAAAGGAGCTTAACTGCACCTTAGATTTATCCTGTGCAGAATGAATGATGTTGTCAGTCCCTGGGGCTTCACTGAAGTTTCACTCAGCTGTTCCCTCAGGAGGCTGAGCAGCCAGCATTCCACAAACTAAACTCTCTTTGTAGGTTTATTTCTGTTGAGACACTTAATTTCAGTAGCTATTAAACATTCTTCTGTCTGATGCCATTCCTGTGAAACAGAGCAAATTAGAAGTTAACTAAGCAGCCAGAGGAGCTAAAAATATGAGACTTGTGGGGACTGATCACCAAACCCTGTAATGACAGTGGGTAAATTTATGATTTTTATTTTTTTTATTCTACCTTCACATTCTTTTGGGTAATGACAAGGAGAAAGGAATTTCCCAAGTGAATTGATGACAATTTAGTTAGCAAAAAAACAGACTGGGAATTTAAAATCAGAGGTTCTCATTCCTTTGAAGATCAGCAGGTGCAAGTATATTTTTTTTAAGAACAAACAACAGAGAAGAAGGTAAAGACGTAGTGTTAAGAAGAATCAGCAGCTTCTCTGCAAGTATATGATTATTGGGTATCTGACTAAAATGTCCAGAGTAATATAAGGCAATAGCAGATGCTATAGATGGGAAATTACTTGTAATGAGAAGGAAGATTTATCTGAGAGTTTTCATGCACATCAGTATATTTTGTTGTTCTTGTTGCTTAAGGGATAATTCCATTCTGAAATGGGACATAACAGCCCCTCAGCTCGTACACATTCTGCCTTCCACCCATTACTTTTAGACCAAAGGATCCCAACTTTTGATGTTTAGAAGGTGTTCCTGAGGTTTGCAAGACCTTAGATCAGGCTTCTCATCAGAAGGAGTGGAGCACAGACCTAAAGGAACAAAAAACTATTATAAACATTTCCTATGGACAAATGAAAACCAAATACCAATTCTAAATATCTTGTCAGTATTTGAACTTCATACTTCTTTTCATTGTGGTTGGTCAAAACCAAGAGGTTGAAATAGGAAACTGAAGTAATTTCCTGTTATTTATAAAGCTCATTATAGGGATCAAAGTGCAAATTAAGGGAATACTTGTTGGTTATTTATCTGTGTGTTTTAATACAGCTAAAGGCTCCATCACCTGGTGGCTCACGAATGTGTGGGTTTTAATGTTTAAGTCCCAAAAACGGTGACCTAGGCTGAGCTTTCAGATTCCCCAGTTCTCTTGGAAGTTGCAATGAGCTGGAAAGTGATAGATCTCTATTTCCTGACACTGATGGAACAAGCATTGCTGGTCTACGTGGGCGGTGTGCAGTGGAAAACAGTAAGACCCCACATGCATAGCAGATAAATAGCTTTTGGTGCTAACAGTGGGCTATGATTAATTTTGAGCAGAAGAAAGGCTGTTTCTGTCTGGGTCAGATCATTCTAGTGAGCTGTCAGTTACCATTTCAATTAAAGTGTTCAATTATTCAGAGCTGCTTTGAAACTGGAGAGCTGTGTACTGATCACAACATGCATATTCTGTTCTAATTTAGGCTCAACTCTCTTATTAGCACTCTCCTGAAATCTGCTCTTTTAAGATGCTTAAAATGAAAGTACTCTTTTAGATTGAAAAAAAACACCAGCAGAAACACAAATCCATCTCAAGAGTTTTAAATTTCACCTGATTTTCATCCTTTTTCTTCCTGTACTGTCATTTGCCTTAGTGTTTGCAGTGAACTTATATGGCATGACTGAGTTTGTGTACATCTCTGCAAAAATCTGGTAATTTTATGTGGCATTTTCTCCTTGAGGGTGTTCAAAGACTGGTTGCCTGGATTTATTCAGGATCTAACCTGCACAGTATGATGCAGTTGAGAACTGTCCCTTTTTGGGGCACATGGGTCTAACAGTGGAAGCCAGCTGCATTCCTCAAGGCTAAGAGCTTAAAGTTCACAGTGCCCAGGGATGCCCAGGGTGAACTTGGACTTGGGGTGCTCCTGGTCTGACCTCCAGATAGCTTTTGCCTCTGCACAGAACCCATTACTGTTGTGCTGATTTTAAATGGGCATTTCTTTGAAAGATTTCAACAGGATTATCTGTTGTCTCATTGCTGTACAATGAGTAACTCATGCACAGGGAGTCTTCTCATTTGTGGCTATGTTCTACTTGCCATGGTGCATTTATCAGGACTTTGATTTCCAGTTTTCTCAGCTCTCCCAGCTGAGCCCTGTATCCTGCTCCCTTGGCATCAGGCCTCTTGTCAGGCCATCCCAGCTCCTCACTAAGACCCTGGGATGGTAAGCACAGCTGCTTGTAGATTTTGATTGAACAGCAGAGTCTCGTACTTGGGACAGTGCAGGCACCAGACAACAGCTCCTGGCCACAGCTGGAGTTCCCCTTCCCAGGCCATGTGCAGCCACAGCCACCATGGTGACCTCACACTGCCACCCCACCACCTTCACAGGGTCCAGCAACTCCAACCCTGTCATGGGTCTTGTGTGTCACAACTCAGAAGTCAAGGCATCTGGAGGAAGAGTGCCAAGTGACAGCACTTCTATCCTCTCCCACAGGACAGGTCCTTCTCATCTTTGGTGTTAGGGTGAGTCAGAGGTTACCCCTTACACTGGCTGGCAACCACATCCCAGCCCTGCAGGAGTTTCAGCAACACTCAATTAAGCAGTCCTTGCCTCCACACACTCTCCAGTGGAGGTGGAAAGAAGTCAAGCTGAAAAGGGCAGAGTCTCCAGCACTATCAGCCTTCTGGTAAAAAACCAAAAATTCTGGTTTTGCCTAACAATATTGTTTGTAAGGGAATAAAAATGTTCTCTTTCATTTGCTAAGAGGAGTTACTGTGTAAAATAAACTCACCAAAGCCCTACCTGCATATCAGGAAGTGAAAATGAACTTATTCTTATTTCTGGAATGACATTTAAAGCAGTTTTCTCTGTCTTCTCTACTTGGACAGACAAAGGCTTCATGGGTCAGACTAAGGATTAAGTCAGAATCCCAGCTCCTGACAAGGGCAAATAGTGGAAGGTTAGGAGAAACATAATCAATGGAAGGCAATTAGAGGGTAATCCTTCTCCAGTGTATTCAATTAGTGCCTGGTGAATAACAAGGTAAGGACTGAGTTCATGAAAACTCACGTAAACCAATCAAACCTGTTCAAGGAAATAAAACTAAAACAACAATTGCAGCTTCATGCAGTGGTTCAAAGTCCAGAGTTTCTAGCTCCAAAGATAATAATTTCCTGTTCTCTACAGAGAGGCAACTGTGTTTTCCCAGCCTTCACTGTATATTTGCCAATATCCTTTTCTTTGGGGCAATTTTCCTTTCTCTGTGTTTCGATGCACTATCCATATGTGAGTCAGAATTTTCCATGGGCCAGGCCTTTTGCACGCAGTTTCATGGGACGAACCATGAACCTCCTAAACAGCCTTTCCGCTGCAAGCTGTTGCAATGTAGGCACTGATTTTACCTCTACAGGACTGAAATCACATTTCTGAAATAGTGCAAAGAGCTCTCCAAGACTACATCATCAGACCCCAGAGAAAGCTGGACCAGCAGTGAACATTTACCTGCTGATCAGAGATTCAGGAGTGGAACTTGTCTCCTGGTTCCCACTCTGCTCACTGAATCACTGTGAGTGTCAACAAGACATCATTTCTCCTTCACAAGCTCAGCAGAGACAAGGTTTAGTGAACTGGGAAATTCATGTTCAGAAAATGCATGCACGAATTTTAAATGGCATAAAAAAGAGATTATTTCATCTCATGGTCTTACATGTCATCTAAATTTGTTGTGTTGCTAAATTGACAAATATACCTATAATTACAAACACTTAATGTCTGATCATTCATGGTGCAGTGAGCTCTTTTATATAATACAAAACCAAGTTTTTCAGGGAATTGCTGTCATTAAAAATAAATAATGCATTTATCCTTTACAATCATTTTAACTTAGCTGCTGTGGAACACAGCATTGTGCCAGAGGTCAATGATCCATTGACTCAGGTTCCAATCACAATACAGTATTTAATTAAAAGTCTAATTTATGTATTTGATTTTTTTTCTTCTCCCCAGGAATCAGCAGCCTATAATGCTGTTAATGCTCTTCAGTCAGCCTATGGTGTACGATACAGATATGGCCCTGCATCCAGCACTTTGTGTAAGTTTCCCTCTGCAGGTTTGTGACTTTGACCTTCCTACAGTAAGAGGGAGAAAACCCTTATTATAACAAAGAATGCAAACACTATTTAAAGTGAACTTTGTTCCGGTTTTGGGTTGTGAGGACGGCAAAAGAAAGTTTTGCAACTGATTCAGTCAGTTGATTGCAGTAAAATTAACTCAACTGATGTAACAAAAGAGATTAAAATGCACTTGAGAGTCAAAAGCCAGTAAATAACATATTCATATCATATAAAACTATGGGGTTTTTTAAAAAGAAAAACTAAGGTCTTGAAAACCGTATCTTTATCAGATACTGCAAATGCACTACTAAGTTGTAACAGCATATGTCAGGCAAGCTCTCTGTACAGAGATAAAACAAAAAGAAGTTCAACAGGTTTTAACAAGACACTTTTTTTCTTTACTGAAGCCTTGAGGTCTGAATGCTGTGGCTAACGATAATAGACATTGAAAAAAAGTGAAAAGCTAAAGACTTTTCACAAGTAACTTCCTGCATCTCCTCTGCCATTGCTGTGTTTCAGCTACAGTTCCACTTATCACAAGCTTCCATCTCACAGCATAGTCATCATCTTGTGCTCATTACACTGCAGTCAGTCACTGTGTCAAAGGAAAAGCTGTGGGAATTGATGCCAGAATTGCACAGGTTACAGCACATGAGAGATTTATGTGTATAAAAAAGTGTGTCTTGGATAATCAACATATGGAGACAAAACTATTTCTTTCTTCAAAACTCTTTCTTCTGACAAAAACATAAGCAGCACACTTCCTCAGGAAGGTTTTTTAATATTAGACATCACCTATGCAAATGCTCTCATGCTGTGGGGAAATGGTGAGAAAGTAAGACAAATGAAAATAATTTTAAAAGCATTTTAAAGAGAAGATGGCAGATTACTTTACCAACTTTCCTCCTTCTCACTGCAAATTGCCTAAAAAACCCAATTTAAAGCTAGGAGCAGCAGAACTCTCCAGTCCAGCTGGGAGATCTTTGTGGAAAGAAAGCATCAGACTGTGTTCAGATGGAGACGGAACAGTTTGAGGCTTTATTCTAGATATTCACTTTTATTAAAGTTTTGCTTGACACAAAACAGTTATAATAATTTTTTCCTATGAAAATGAAGGGACTAATCCATATTGTGCTGAGCACATTTCACCATGTGCTGAGTGTTCATGCTATTCTCTGAAGGGTGTTCACGATCAGGGCAAGCAATAGCTGGAGTTGCAAGAATACTCACTGAGTCACAGAGACAAAATGCCACAAGAAGCCTCTGGTGATTTCAGCATGACCTGCATTTAACATTTTTAATGCTTTCTCTGAATTTCCTCTTTCAGATGTGAGTTCTGGCAGCTCTATGGACTGGGCTTACAAAAATGGCATCCCATATGCATTTGCATTTGAGCTGCGTGACACTGGCCATTTTGGATTTTTGCTTCCTGAAATGCTGATCAAACCAACCTGCACAGAGACCATGCTTGCAGTTAAAAATATAACTCTTCACTTGCTGAAGAAATGTCATTGAGATGGATTTCTAGGAGCTGGAAGTAAACATTTTACTCCTAGTACTGATGCCTTTCAGTGTGTTCAGTTGCCATTCAAAGTCTTCAGAATTCAAGAAGTTAATGGGAAATGTGATATTGTTTCTGCCAAATTAACTTAGAGGAAAATGGAAAAAAATCATTCAATATCTGCTCTTCTAAAGTCTATAAAGCTGATATACTAATTTAGTTACCAGTTTGGTGCAGAATATTTTTGCAATAAAACCTTTATTCTGCAATTTCAGTGAGGCCAGCTCTAAAATAAAGTGCCACTGCCAGGCAGTTCCGGGCCTTACACCTTCCCCTATTATGAAGACCTCCCAGGGGGTCTCTCAAACCAAGGGATAAAGTTTACAATTATGTAAATGTACCCTGTGACCCAACACAGACCTGTATCTACAGCAATAAATGCCTTATAGTGGTAGCTGGCTGCACTGCAAGTGGCAGTGTGGCTTCCTTCTGCGTGTATACGTACATACATACATATATGCACTTTTGTGATTTTTGAATTCATATTATGCAATAATTTGAACCAAGGTTTCTTTTAACTGTTCAGAGAAATCTACTTTCAAATGTATATAATTGGTGTGGGCTCAAAATCAACATATTGTCTTTGAAAATGTAACTTTCCTAGTGATGTAAGGATTATAATGGAATACTATTGAGCTAGACAATGTTCTGCTTTATGGAGAGACAAAGCAACTTGCCATGACTTGGAACTTGAAGCTGGCAGTCGACTGGTGCATCTGGGCTCTGCTGTAGATAGTGACTGCCCATTTCCACCAGCCAAGGATTTAGCCTTAAACTGTAATTAACTGATGTTTTATTTATCAATACTCTTGCAGTGAGTTCTATGGCTCTTTGGCTATGTGGCCCCTCTTCCTGGAAGCTGTATTGTTTTGCATGTTTTAAAGGAATTAATAAATTTTTTATGGATTCTTAAGTGAGACAGAGGTGAAGGTAGAAGCCTTACAGCTGAAATAAAGTGAATAAGCACCATGTTGAAAGAATAATGAAAGTACAGAGAAGATAACATGTTGAGGGATTTTTAGGACTTTTAAAATACAATTTTTTAAATCTTATTATATCTGCAGAAGCATATATTTTACTTAATGATTTTTGAATTTAATCTTATCCACTACATATTAACGAAAACATATTTGTTAATAAAATGGTCAAAGACTTTTGAAGTATTCTTCATATTTTACTTAGGGATAAAAACTTTAGTTCAAGTATGTAGCAATTTTACCTATCTGTAAAACATTCCTGATGCTAAGGATGGGGAATTAAAAAAAAACAACAAAGTCCTCTCTAAATAAGCACTTGATCTTAGCAAATGGGCAATCTTTATAAATCTTATAAGAGAAGTACTGTATTTAATTAAACATATCATTGTTTTCAGGACTGCAAAAGGCAATCAGTGAACAAAGATGACAGAATTGCATTCTATTTGTCTAACATTTTGTTAATAAATGTGTTTATTTTACACAAGTTTCTGAAGGTTTGTTCAGATTTGTTTAATTCAGTCTTGTTTGAGTAACATAAGTTTCTATTCTGGTTTATTAAATGTCTTGGGGACAGAAGCCCTCAAAATAGTAATTTCCAATTGCTTATGTCCATAACTATTAAATATTTTGAACACAGCAATAACTGTCTTTTGCTATGCACACATTCCTGACCAATGGCCTTAATAGCAGTGTAAATGATTAGCACCAATCATTATGTGTTGTTCTGAATTCAGGTGACAAGACTGAACTTACTACAAAGACATAAGAGACTGAAGAAGAGAATGAATGAGGGATGTCTAATTAGCATGAGGCAGGTTTACCTCTGAATTGCTACACTACAAGCCTGGACCAGGAACAGGCAGATTCTTATGTGATGGTTTGATTCCTGCTCACAGTCCAATAGTTCACCATGTGAAATATTTCAGCTTTGTCCTCATACCATTGCAACTGCATTGGCAATGAAAAGTAATTGAACTCTTGGAACAAGGACAGGAAACAAACAAATATCCTCCTTTAGGTACCAAAAGGACCTAACATTTTAGACCTAGTTGACCTTCTTGGACAGGAATAACTGTAAGTATTCTTAGATTTATCTAAGACACTTTGACATTTAGAAGTACTTGGTATCAAACCCTTTCTATGAATAAAGCTACACACTAGTATATGGATGGACTCTGCTTGAATACTATCTATGACATGCAGCTGAGAACTCTGAGCTGAGTTGTTAAGACCTGTGCAGGGTAATTTAATGCCCCATAGCCGAATACAAGTGTAAACAGTCTCTGAGCCCTTTAATTTCAAGATCATTAAAGCTGGTGGAAAGACAGTCACTAGGAAAGAACAAACTCTGTTTCCTGAATTAAATTTTTGTAAGACAATTTTTCATCAAAAGAGTGATTCTAAATGGAGTACTTTACCCTAAGGAAAAGACTAATGGCAACCATCTATTTGGATAGGAAATCATATAGCTTTTGTGACTTATAATGTTACTTGTCAATAACAACTCTTCTTTATCTCTATAATTGCTTGCTTCTCTTCCCTTTGTACTTTTCAGCAATTTTTATTGACTACAGGACAACAGAATTGAAAGCTGGTTTTAAGAAAAGTGAATTTATTTTATGATCATAGGTACAGTTTATCATTCAACACAATAAAAAGTACATGAACTTACTAAAACACTGTTTTAGTAACCCAGCAGGTCCATGCCTCTTAAGTCACCCTTCCCAAAAACAAGTATCACAAATGATTTATTACATTAAATCATCATTCATAAATTGATTTTAAAAAATGCCTTTAGAGATCAAAAAAAGTATTGAGCTTTGTTGCAAACCTTGAATAAAGACCACTGCTGGTGGGTGAAGCTCCTTGTGTATTTTCCAGAAGTTGCTTCAGAAAGGTCAGTGTATTCAGTCACTCATCACATATAAAGCCTATGGAAAACTGCAATTTCTTTCTGAGAACTGCAATACCTTTTCTGAAATCTGAATTGGAAGAGTCCAAATGGCCTTGAATGCCAACATGCATTTATATGCAGAGCCAGTCTGCTTGTTTATAGGAAACAGCACTGTGCAGATTGAGCTGCCTACTCAAGGACTGCAAAAAATATCCATTAGTGGACAAGACTGTGTCTAATTCTTAAGGTTGGGAAGAAAGTCTTGTATTTCCTATGAAAAATAAGTTAATGTTCAGCTGCTCCAGTTTATTTCTGTTAAACAATCCCTTCACTTTTTATATTTACAGTCATTTTAATGGCAATTAAAGAATAAGATACTTGGTAGCATGGGTAGGGTAATAAGTATTTTTGTAAGCACTTTAACCTTTCCTTTGGTTGTGCAAAACTACTACATCATTTTCATAGCTCACTGTTTTGTATCAGTCACATTCAGTGTCACACATGCATTAGTGTTTTTGAATTCTGTGCCTAAAAGCCACATATTACCATCTTCAAGCAGTTCTTCAGTGATGGTAAAACACCAGAATATCTCAGATGCACAGAGATACAGCTATTGCTCTGCTGTAGAAAACACAATGAGAACAGAAATTTAAATAAATTACAGAAAGACTTTTTAAATATAAACACTGTGGCATTAGGTATACTCTCTAAAAACATTTTTAAATGCTCGCAACACAAAATAATTTGTAAATTTGTTGGAAATTTAAAAGTCTTCTGTCCAAAGAAAATGTAGATTATTTGCCATGTGCTTAATGTATGCCTGACTCTCATAATTATTCAGGATAAAAGAGAGCTGCCTTCTGAGTGACTGCATCAATAGATTTTCCAGCCCTGTCAGCACCACCAACTGATGTTGTTGGTGGGTCTGTCTTGGAGGAAGTGGAACAACTCCAGAGTGGTTTTCACTTTTCTTGGCTGAACGTGCCTGTCACCCCAAGCATGATGTGCTGGTTGAGCAGCTTGTCAGAAATTCAGCCTTAGGCTGCTCCTGGTGTCAAAAGGGCCTGCCTTAACAACAAGGTCTTCTGTTAACATCTGCAAGTTTGGGAACTAGCAGTGAGCTAACACATGATTCTCCTTAGAAAACGATGTTTGGGGCAAGGACATTGAGAACAGGGAAATCTTTAGTCCCTGAATGCTTGTCCTTGCCTGACAGGCAGGAGCAGTCAGTCATGCAGAAAGTCTCAGGTCTCTCCACTTGTAAGGTGGAGGTCCTTTCAAGCCCTCTTGTGAGAGACCACGTCAAGCAGAGCAGGGCTTGCCCTTGGATTCAGACATCAGGGAATGCACTCATAAATAATAGATTCAAATGTTAATTAAAAAAATCTGCCACTGTCCCCAGCCATGCAGAAAGCATATTTTGCCTGTGACAAGGAAAATCCATCCATTGCCATAAAAATGTGGGGTAATATATTCCATCAGTCCTGCCTGCTCTGAAAGTCCAGCCACTTTAACACTGCTTGGCCTTTTTGAAAAAGACATGAGGCAGAATAGCCATAACAATGACATATTTTAAACTACCCCCAGGCCTGTAGAAGCATATACTTTATATAAAATAATATATAACAGCTTCTGAAATAAATATTGTGGTATGACTAGGAGCAGGTGTTTTAATCTTTTTTGCTGACAATAATGTGCCAGGCTATTCCTCTGCATACCAGGACGGATCAATACTGGGAGGAGTGTCTCTTTTTTAACCAATTAATGAAACTTTTTTCCCAATTCTGAGCAGAATAGCAAGTTAGGCCTGAAAATGCATACAAAAGAGTCAGATAAAGTTGTATTTTAAAAACAGGATTTTCAATTTTCTTGAAAATAATGCAGCTGTTAAAATCACAGCCATAGTTTTCAGGTTGCTTATTGTTTTCAGCATGTCATAACTGAAGAAAACCATTTACAGCATCCTTGAAAGTTGAGCAGAGATGACTGACCTATTCACTATTTAATTTCCCTTGTTTCATGTTGCTTTGTTTCTAGATTGAGAAAATCTGTTGATTAGGCTGAATTGATGGAGTACAGTCAA